CCGTAGTGTTATATAAGAATACGAGCCGACCCGCGGCGTATCATACGCCGCTATTTAGTTTGCTTTATTTTCTACTTTTCAGTAATTCATAATTTGTGAATTCGACAGTACTAATGCTGCCACTGAATATATTTGATTTAAAACACTATCAGTAGCTCGTTAAGGACGATAATCCCCCCTCCTTTCCCCAACCCATACCCTACACCTCCCCCCTTGAAAGCAGCCTCCTCTTAGTTACGTCCCCTACGTTTAAAATAGTTTCAAACTAAATTATCTGCCCCTAATAGCCGTCACTAAACAGGCTCTGCTTGTAAACATTTAGCGTGAACCACAGCTCACCAGACCATGTAGGGGTGGGTGTGATAGGGAGCGCGCGTGCAGCTTGTTTTCTAACGTCTCCCAGAAGAGAATTATATATATAGATTAGAGAAAGTTTAGGGGAGATCACTCCCGGTTTTTTTCTTTATATAGTTTGCTATTTTTTGCATTGGTGTCAACCCCCCTAAATGGTGTCACCCCCCCCCCTCCCGCTTCGCTACGCCTTTGACCTTTACTAATATTTAGGAAAAGATCCACGCTTTTATTTATAGTTATTTAAATAGCACCCACGGCCAAGCATCTGACGATATGCTGATTTGTAATAAATACGATGCCGTGTTACCTGTTTCATCTCTCTATCTCACTTTACCTGTTTCATCTCTCTATCTCACTTTATCTGTTTCATCTCTCTATATATCACTTTACCTGTTTCATCTCTCTATCTCACTTTACCTGTTTCATCTCTCTATTTCACTTTACCTATTTCATCTCTATCTCACTTTACCTGTTTCATCTCTCTATATATCACTTTACCTGTTTCATCTCTCTATATATCACTTTACCTGTTTCATCTCTCTATCTCACTTTACCTGTTTCATCTCTCTATCTCACTTTACCTGTTTCATCTCTCTATATATCACTTTACCTGTTTCATCTCTCTATATTTCACTTTACCTGTTTCATCTCTCTATCTCACTTTACCTGTTTCATCTCTCTATCTCACTTTACCTGTTTCATCTCTCTATCTCACTTTACCTGTTTCATCTCTCTATCTCACTTTACCAGTTTCATCTCTCTATCTCGCTTTACCTGTTTCATCTCTCTATCTCACTTTACCGGTTTCATCTCTCTATCTCACTTTACCTGTTTCATCTCTCTATCTCACTTTACCTGTTTCATCTCTCTATCTCGCTTTACCTGTTTCATCTCTCTATCTCACTTTACCTGTTTCATCTCTCAATATATCACTTTACCTGTTTCATCTCTCTATCTCACTTTACCTGTTTCACCTCTCTATCTCACTTTACCTGTTTCATCTCTCTATCTCGCTTTACCTGTTTCATCTCTCTATATATCACTTTACCTGTTTCATCTCTCTATATATAACTTTACCTGTTTCATCTCTCTATCCCACTTTACCTGTTTCATCTCTTTATCTCACTTTACCAGTTTCATCTCTCTATCTCGCTTTACCTGTTTCATCTCTCTATATATCACTTTACCTGTTTCATCTCTCTATATATCACTTTACCTGTTTCATCTCTCTATCTCACTTTACCAGTTTCATCTATCTATCTCACTTTACCTGTTTCATCTCTCTATATATCACTTTACCTGTTTCATCTCTCTATATATCACTTTACCTGTTTCATCTCTCTATCTCGCTTTACCTGTTTCATCTCTCAATATATCACTTTACCGGTTTCATCTCTCTATCTCACTTTACCTGTTTCATCTCTCTATCTCACTTTACCTGTTTCATTTCTCTATATATTACTTTACCTGTTTCATCTCTCTATCTCACTTTACCTGTTTCATCTCTCAATATATCACTTTACCTGTTTCATCTCTCTATCTCACTTTACCTGTTTCATCTCTCTATATATCACTTTACCTGTTTCATCTCTCTATATATCACTTTACCTGTTTCATCTCTATATATCACTTTACCTGTTTCATCTCTCTATCTCACTTTACCTGTTTCATCTCTCTATCTCACTTTACCTGTTTCATCTCTCTATCTCACTTTACCTGTTTCATCTCTCTATCTCACTTTACCTGTTTCATCTCTCTATATATCACTTTACCTGTTTCATCTCTCTATCTCACTTTACCTGTTTCATCTCTCTATTTCACTTTACCTGTTTCATCTCTCTATATATCACATACCTGTTTCATCTCTCTATATATCACTTTACCTGTTTCATCTCTCTATCTCGCTTTACCTGTTTCATCTCTCTATCTCACTTTACCTGTTTCATCTCTCTATTTCACTTTACTTGTTTCATCTTTCTATCTCACTTTACCTGTTTCATCTCTCTATATATCACTTTACCTGTTTCATCTCTCTATATATCACTTTACCTGTTTCATCTCTCTATCTCGATTTACCTGTTTCATCTCTCTATCTCACTTTACCTGTTTCATCTCTCTATCTCACTTTACCTGTTTCATCTCTCTATCTCACTTTACCGGTTTCATCTCTCTATCTCACTTTACCTGTTTCATCTCTCTATCTCACTTTACCTGTTTCATCTCTCTATCTCACTTTACCGGTTTCATCTCTCTATCTCGCTTTACCTGTTTCATCTCTCTATATATCACTTTACCTGTTTCATCTCTCTATCTCACTTTACCTGTTTCATCTCTCTATCTCACTTTACCTGTTTCATCTCTCTATCTCACTTTACCTGTTTCATCTCTCAATATATCACTTTACCTGTTTCATCTCTCTATCTCACTTTACCTGTTTCACCTCTCTATCTCGCTTTACCTGTTTCATCTCTCTATATATCACTTTACCTGTTTCATCTCTCTATATCACTTTACCTGTTTCATCTCTCTATCTCACTTTACCAGTTTCATCTCTTTATTTCACTTTACCAGTTTCATCTCTCTATCTCGCTTTACCTGTTTCATCTCTCTATATATCACTTTACCTGTTTCATCTCTCTATATATCACTTTACCTGTTTCATCTCTCTATCTCACTTTACCTGTTTCATCTCTCTATCTCACTTTACCTGTTTCATCTCTCTATCTCACTTTACCTGTTTCATCTCTCTATCTCACTTTACCTGTTTCATCTCTCTATATATCACTTTACCTGTTTCATCTCTCTATATATCACTTTACCTGTTTCATCTCTCTATCTCGCTTTACCTGTTTCATCTCTCTATCTCACTTTACCTGTTTCATCTCTCTATATTTCACTTTACCTGTTTCATCTCTCTATATATCACTTTACCTGTTTCATCTCTATATATCACTTTACCTGTTTCATCTCTTTATCTCACTTTACCTGTTTCATCTCTCTATCTCGCTTTACCTGTTTCATCTCTCTATCTCACTTTACCTGTTTCATCTCTCTATATTTCACTTTACCTGTTTCATCTCTCTATATATCACTTTACCTGTTTCATCTCTTTATCTCACTTTACCAGTTTCATCTCTCTATCTCGCTTTACCTGTTTCATCTCTCTATATATCACTTTACCTGTTTCATCTCTCTATCTCACTTTACCTGTTTCATCTCTCTATCTCACTTTACCTGTTTCATCTCTTTATCTCACTTTACCAATTTCATCTCTCTATCTCACTTTACCTGTTTCATCTCTCTATCTCACTTTACCTGTTTCATCTCTCTATCTCACTTTACCTGTTTCATCTCTCTATATTTCACTTTACCTGTTTCATCTCTCTATATATCACTTTACCTGTTTCATCTCTTTATCTCACTTTACCAGTTTTATCTCTCTTTATATCACTTTACCTGTTTCATCTCTCTATATTTCACTTTACCTGTTTCATCTCTCTATATATCACTTTACCTGTTTCATCTCTTTATCTCACTTTACCTGTTTCATCTCTCTATCTCACTTTACCTGTTTCATCTCTCTATATATCACTTTACCTGTTTCATCTCTCTATATATCACTTTACCTGTTTCATCTCTCTATCTCACTTTACCTGTTTCATCTCTCTATATATCACTTTACCTGTTTCATCTCTCTATCTCACTTTACCTGTTTCATCTCTCTATTTCACTTTACCTGTTTCATCTCTCTATATATCACTTTACCTGTTTCATCTTTCTATCTCACTTTACCTGTTTCATCTCTCTATCTCGCTTTACTTGAGAGTGTATTCAGGTAAACAGCTTTCACCAGAACGACTCCCACTTTCTTAAACCTTCCACGGAGCTGAACTAATGTTTCTTGTGGTATGACGCTGCTGTTAAAAGCAATAAGCTGTTAAAAGCAATCAGCCGATGTACTCCCCTCTACAATCAGCTGAAGCACTTCCCACTACAAACAGCCGATGTACTCCCCTCTACAATCAGCTGATGTACTCCCCTCTACAATCAGCTGATGCACTCCCCTCTACAATCAGCTGATGTACTCCCCTCTACAATCAGCTGATGTACTCCCCTCTACAATCAGCTGATGCACTCCCCTCTACAATCAGCTGATGCACTCCCCTCTACAATCAGCTGATGCACTCCCCTCTACAAACAGCCGATGTACTCCCCTCTACAATCAGCTGATGTACTCCCCTCTACAATCAGCTGATGTACTCCCCTCTACAATCAGCTGATGTACTCCCCTCTACAATCAGCTGATGCACTCCCCTCTACAAACAGCTGATGCACTCCCCTCTACAATCAGCTGATGTACTCCCCTCTACAATCAGATGATGTACTCCCCTCTACAATCAGCTGATGTACTCCCCTCTACAATCAGCTGATGCACTCCCCTCTACAATCAGCTGATGCACTCCCCTCTACAGATGTTTTTGTTGGTCTAGGGAGAGTTTCGGTTACTCGACACAAAGTCGAGCGGTCTGATGTTCTTTAAAGAAATGATCTAACATATAACCATGTGCAGGCAGCACCGACATCACGAGAGGGGGGAGGGGGATAACTTGAGGTCGACAGGGTGTTTACTATCGAGCGTTGCTAGTGTGCGCGCGCAGTGAGCGAGGCCGGCACCCAGTGGTAAGACAATAGCCCACTTTGTTTTAGTCCAGGATTTTTAGCGGCTCAAAGTAGGCTAGGACTTGAATATTTCTGCCCTTCTGTTTCCTGCCAGATGTGATGACCATTGACATGATTATTCAAATGTATGTATTTTTGTGTTTAGCAGTGTTTGCTAAAGAAATAAAAGTGAAGGACTGTAGCTGTTTATAAATCTCCTCTAGACATGTCAGGCCCTACCGGTAATGTAATAACTAGGTCTACTAGTCAATCTTCAAACAAAACAAGAAAAGGACATCAAAAGTAAACAACATCAGAATAGATGTGTTCATGAACACACCCCTCCACCCGTGATGTGTTCATGAACTCTTTTACGTAAACAAATCCAGGGAGAGGCCAAAACAAAAGGATTCTTGTTAAGAGATATTTCTTCTTCTTTAACCATCGCTCGAGGTAAGTGATTCGTTTGAATGAAACCAGTTGTATACACAAAATAAGATCAGAAAATTAGCTTTAAGCTAACCCACTCTATCGTCATTAACTGCGTGTGCAATATATATGGAAAAGCTGGCTTGGTGATGAAGGGCAATGTTGTGTCGTTTCTAGCTCAGCAACCTCTTACACTGGCAGGGGAGGTAATATGAAATAGTTAAAACTTGCGGCGTTTCTATCAACAAAGTAGTGTTAGTAGACTACTGCATTTTATACAATGCCTCAAATGTCTTATAGTTTTTCCTAACATACATAAGTAAATCACACTCTCTCAGCATGTTGTCAACACACGATTTTACATGTGGTCAACACACGATTTTACATGTGGTCAACACACGATTTTACATGTGGTCAACACACGATTTTACATGTGGTCAACACACGATTTTACATGTGGTCAACACACGATTTTACATGTGGTCAACACACGATTTTACATGTGGTCAACACACGATTTTACATGTGGTCAACACACGATTTTACATGATGTATTAGAGCTCAAAACTTGTCTACATCACACATCTACCCTAACGTAATTCAATACAACACTAATGCCGATTCTACCCTAAAGATATACAATACAACATTAATGCCAATTCTACCCTAAAGTCATACAATACAACATTAATGCCCATTCTACCGTAAAGATACACAATACAACATTAATGCCGATTCTACCCTAAAGTCATACAATACAACATTAATGCCCATTCTACCCTAAAGTCATACAATACAACATTTATGTACCATATTCAATAGTGCATCTCATGGCAGGTGCACACTACACACAACCACTCTATTGATAGCTTAACCTGCCGTTTTGATCCAATTAGCAACTGTAGTTAAGGGCCTTGCTGGATTGTCACTTCTGTTCGATTTCACAGTAGACGGAGAGAAAACATTGATCTATCGATTGTCTATCGGTTAGCTTCAGTCACTTCTGCAGGCCATACGAGTTGGTCGCTGAAATAAATGCCAACCACTTTTTACTCTATTTATAAACCAGCTAGACGACAAATATTTATTTGAATCAATGGCTCAACCTTCAATAGTTGTTGAATCAATGGCTCAACCTTAAATAGTTGTTGAATCAATGGCTCAACCTTCAATAGTTGTTGAATCAATGGCTCAACCTTGAATAGTTGTTGAATCAACGGCTCAACCTTGAATAGTTGTTGAATCAATGGCTCAACCTTCAACAGTTGTTGAATCAATGTCTCAACCTTCAATAGTTGTTGAATCAACGGCTCAACCTTCAATAGTTGTTGAATCAATGGCTCAACCTTCAATAGTTGTTGAATCAATGGCTCAACCTTCAACAGTTGTTGAATCAATGTCTCAACCTTCAATAGTTGTTGAATCAACGGCTCAACCTTCAATAGTTGTTGAATCAATGGCTCAACCTTCAATAGTTGTTGAATCGATGGCTCAACCTTCAACAGTTGTTGAATCAATGGCTCAACCTTCAACAGTTGTTGAATCAATGGCTCAACCTTCAACAGTTGTTGAATCAATGGCTCAACCTTCAATAGTTGTTGAATCAATGGCTCAACATTCAATAGTTGTTGAATCAACGGCTCAACCTTCAATAGTTGTTGAATCAATGTCTCAACCTTCAATAGTTTTTGAATCAACGGCTCAACCTTCAACAGTTGTTGAATCAATGGCTCAACCTTCAATAGTTGTTGAATCAATGGCTCAACCTTCAATAGTTGTTGAATCGATTGCTCAACCTTCAACAGTTGTTGAATCAATGGCTCAACCTTCAACAGTTGTTGAATCAATGGCTCAACCTTCAATAGTTGTTGAATCAATGGCTCAACCTTCAATAATTGTTGAATCAATGGCTCAACCTTCAATAGTTGTTTAAAGCTTGAGCACTATAGTTATACAAGCAATATCATTCTCAAGACTGCATTTAGTACCAGCACTATAGTTATACAAGCAATATCATCCTCAACACTACATTTAGTACCAGCACTATAGTTATACAAGCAATATCATTTTCAAGACTGCATTTAGTACCAGCACTATAGTTATACAAGCAATATCATCCTCAACACTACATTTAGTACCAGCACTATAGTTATACAAGCAATATCATTTTCAAGACTGCATTTAGTACCAGCACTATAGTTATACAAGCAATATCATCCTCAACACTACATTTAGTACCAGCACTATAGTTATACAAGCAATTCTTGTAGGTTGACAGAAATAAATCATATAATTTCGAGGTGCTATCAAAATGTGGTGTGTACATGTCCGACTCCTTAACACCCCCAGGTCATCAACTTGCCACCCCCAGGTCATCAAATGGCCACCCCCAGGTCATCAACTGGCCACCCCCAGGTCATCAACTGGCCACCCCCAGGTCATCTACTGGCCACCACCAGGTCATCAACTGGCCACCCCCAGGTCATCAACTGGCCACCCCCAGGTCATCAACTGGCCACCCCCAGGTCATCAAATAGCCACCCTCAGGTCATCAACTGGCCACCCCCAGGTCATCAACTGGCCACCCCCAGGTCATCAAATGGCCACCCCCAGGTCATCAACTGGCCACCCCAGGTCATCAACTGGCCACCCCCCCCCCCGTCATCAAATGGCCACTTACAAGGCTTGTTGTTGGGGTAGTGGCTGTTTACATGTTGGCTGGTACTCTATTGCCGTTGGGGTAGTGGCTGTTTAAGCAACAAGTTGGCTGGTACTCTATTGTTGTTGGGGTAGTGGCTGTTTAAATGTTGGCTAGTACTCTATTGCCGTTGGGGTATTGGCTGTTTAAATGTTGGCTGGTACTCTATTGTTGGGGTAGTGGCTGTTTAAATGTTGGCTGGTACTCTATTGTTGGGGTAGTGGCTGTTTACATGTTGGCTAGTACTCTATTGTTGTTGGGGTATTGGCTGTTTAAATGTTGGCTGGTACTCTATTGTTGGGGTAGTGGCTGTTTACATGTTGGCTAGTACTCTATTGTTGTTGGGGTATTGGCTGTTTACATGTTGGCTGGTACTCTATTGTTGTTGGGGTAGTGGCTGTTTACAAGTTGGCTGGTACTCTATTGCCGTTGGGGTAGTGGCTGTTTAAGCAACAAGTTGGCTGGTACTCTATTGTTGTTGGGGTAGTGGCTGTTTAAATGTTGGCTGGTACTCTATTGTTGTTGGGGTAGTGGCTGTTTAAATGTTGGCTGGTACTCTATTGTTGTTGGGGTAGTGGCTGTTTACAAGTTGGCTGGTACTCTATTGCCGTTGGGGTAGTGGCTGTTTATATGTTGGCTAGTACTCTATTGTTGTTGGGGTAGTGGCTGTTTACATGTTGGCTGGTACTCTATTGTTGTTGGGGTAGTGGCTGTTTACATGTTGGCTAGTACTCTATTGTTGGGGTAGTGGCTGTTTAAATGTTGGCTGGTACTCTATTGTTGTTGGGGTAGTGGCTGTTTACAAGTTGGCTGGTACTCTATTGCCGTTGGGGTAGTGGCTGTTTAAGCAACAAGTTGGCTGGTACTCTATTGTTGTTGGGGTAGTGGCTGTTTAAATGTTGGCTGGTACTCTATTGTTGGGGTAGTGGCTGTTTAAATGTTGGCTGGTACTCTATTGTTGGGGTAGTGGCTGTTTAAATGTTGGCTAGTACTCTATTGTTGTTGGGGTAGTGGCTGTTTAAATGTTGGCTGGTACTCTATTGTTGTTGGGGTAGTGGCTGTTTAAATGTTGGCTAGTACTCTATTGCCGTTGGGGTATTGGCTGTTTAAATGTTGGCTGGTACTCTATTGTTGGGGTAGTGGCTGTTTAAATGTTGGCTGGTACTCTATTGTTGGGGTAGTGGCTGTTTACATGTTGGCTAGTACTCTATTGTTGTTGGGGTATTGGCTGTTTAAATGTTGGCTGGTACTCTATTGTTGGGGTAGTGGCTGTTTACATGTTGGCTAGTACTCTATTGTTGTTGGGGTATTGGCTGTTTACATGTTGGCTGGTACTCTATTGTTGTTGGGGTAGTGGCTGTTTAAATGTTGGCTGGTACTCTATTGTTGGGGTAGTGGCTGTTTACATGTTGGCTAGTACTCTATTGTTGTTGGGGTAGTGGCTGTTTAAATGTTGGCTGGTACTCTATTGTTGTTGGGGTAGTGGCTGTTTAAATGTTGGCTGGTACTCTATTGTTGTTGGGGTAGTGGCTGTTTAAATGTTGGCTGGTACTCTATTGTTGTTGGGGTAGTGGCTGTTTAAATGTTGGCTGGTACTCTATTGTTGTTGGGGTAGTGGCTGTTTAAATGTTGGCTGGTACTCTATTGTTGTTGGGGTAATGGCTGTTTAAATGTTGGCTGGTACTCTATTGTTGGTGGGGTATTGGCTGTTTAAATTTTGGTGTACTCTATTGTTGGGGTAGTGGCTGTTTAAATGTTGGCTAGTACTCTATTGTTGTTGGGGTATTGGCTGTTTAAATGTTGGCTGGTACTCTATTGTTGGGGTAGTGGCTGTTTACATGTTGGCTAGTACTCTATTGTTGTTGGGGTATTGGCTGTTTACATGTTGGCTGGTACTCTATTGTTGTTGGGGTAGTGGCTGTTTAAATGTTGGCTGGTACTCTATTGTTGGGGTAGTGGCTGTTTACATGTTGGCTAGTACTCTATTGTTGTTGGGGTAGTGGCTGTTTAAATGTTGGCTGGTACTCTATTGTTGTTGGGGTAGTGGCTGTTTAAATGTTGGCTAGTACTCTATTGTTGTTGGGGTAGTGGCTGTTTAAATGTTGGCTGGTACTCTATTGTTGTTGGGGTAGTGGCTGTTTACAAGTTGGCTGGTACTCTATTGCCGTTGGGGTAGTGGCTGTTTACATGTTGGCTAGTACTCTATTGTTGGGGTAGTGGCTGTTTACATGTTGGCTGGTACTCTATTGTTGTTGGGGTAGTGGCTGTTTACATGTTGGCTAGTACTCTATTGTTGGGGTAGTGGCTGTTTAAATGTTGGCTGGTACTCTATTGTTGTTGGGGTAGTGGCTGTTTACATGTTGGCTGGTACTCTATTGTTGGGGTAGTGGCTGTTTACATGTTGGCTAGTACTCTATTGTTGTTGGGGTATTGGCTGTTTAAATGTTGGCTGGTACTCTATTGTTGGGGTAGTGGCTGTTTACATGTTGGCTAGTACTCTATTGTTGTTGGGGTATTGGCTGTTTAAATGTTGGCTGGTACTCTATTGTTGGGGTAGTGGCTGTTTACATGTTGGCTAGTACTCTATTGTTGTTGGGGTATTGGCTGTTTACATGTTGGCTGGTACTCTATTGTTGTTGGGGTAGTGGCTGTTTAAATGTTGGCTGGTACTCTATTGTTGGGGTAGTGGCTGTTTACATGTTGGCTAGTACTCTATTGTTGTTGGGGTAGTGGCTGTTTAAATGTTGGCTGGTACTCTATTGTTGTTGGGGTAGTGGCTGTTTAAATGTTGGCTAGTACTCTATTGTTGTTGGGGTAGTGGCTGTTTAAATGTTGGCTGGTACTCTATTGTTTCATCTGAAGTAAAATAGTAACTTGGGAGTTTCGGTGATAGTTACAACCGTTACAGATGTTATATATGGAGTGAAGGGTTGTATCAAAGTGACGTTATATCTGGAGTGAGTGGTTGTATCAAAGTGACGTTATATATGGAGTGAAGGGTTGTATCAAAGTGACGTTATATATGGAGTGAGTGGTTGTACCAAAGTGACGTTATATCTGGAGTGAGTGGTTGTATCAAAGTGACGTTATATATGGAGTGAGTGGTTGTACCAAAATGACGTTATATATGGAGTGAGTGGTTGTATCAAAGTGAAGTTATATCTGGAGTGAGTGGTTGTACCAAAGTGACGTTATATATGGAGTGAAGGGTTGTATCAAAGTGACGTTATATCTGGAGTGAGTGGTTGTACCAAAGTGACGTTATATCTGGAGTGAGTGGTTGTATCAAAGTGACGTTATATATGGAGTGAAGGGTTGTATCAAAGTGACGTTATATCTGGAGTGAGTGGTTGTACCAAAGTGACGTTATAAAGGAGTGAAGGGTTGTATCAAAATGACGTTATATCTGGAGTGAGTGGTTGTATCAAAGTGACGTTATATATGGAGTTATGGGTTGTATCAAAGTGACGTTATATATGGAGTGAGTGGTTGTACCAAAGTGACGTTATATATGGAGTAATGGGTTGTATCAAAGTGACGTTATATATGGAGTGAGTGGTTGTACCAAAGTGACGTTATATATGGAGTGAGTGGTTGTATCAAAGTGACGTTATATCTGGAGTGAGTGGTTGTATCAAAGTGACGTTATATATGGAGTGAGTGGTTGTATCAAAGTGACGTTATATCTGGAGTGAGTGGTTGTATCAAAGTGACGTTATATCTGGAGTGAGTGGTTGTACCAAAGTGACGTTATATATGGAGTGAGTGGTTGTACCAAAGTGACGTTATATCTGGAGTGAGTGGTTGTACCGAAGTGACGTTATATCTGGAGTAAGTGGTTGTATCAAAGTGACGTTATATCTGGAGTGAGTGGTTGTACCAAAGAGACGTTATATCTGGAGTGAGTGGTTGTACCAAAGTGACGTTATATCTGGAGTGAGTGGTTGTATCAAAGTGACGTTATATCTGGAGTGAGTGGTTGTATCAAAGTGACGTTATATATGGAGTGAGTGGTTGTATCAAAGTGAAGTTATATCTGGAGTGAGTGGTTGTACCAAAGTGACGTTATATATGGAGTGAAGGGTTGTATCAAAGTGACGTTATATCTGGAGTGAGTGGTTGTACCAAAGTGACGTTATATATGGAGTGAGTGGTTGTATCAAAGTGACGTTATATATGGAGTGAAGGGTTGTATCAAAGTGACGTTATATCTGGAGTGAGTGGTTGTACCAAAGTGACGTTATAAAGGAGTGAAGGGTTGTATCAAAATGACGTTATATCTGGAGTGAGTGGTTGTATCAAAGTGACGTTATATATGGAGTGAGTGGTTGTACCAAAGTGACGTTATATATGGAGTGAAGGGTTGTATCAAAGTGACGTTATATCTGGAGTGAGTGGTTGTACCAAAGTGACGTTATATATGGAGTGAGTGGTTGTACCAAAGAGACGTTATATCTGGAGTGAGTGGTTGTACCAAAGTGACGTTATATATGGAGTCATGGGTTGTATCAAAGTGACGTTATATATGGAGTGAGTGGTTTTACCAAAGTGACGTTATATATGGAGTGAGTGGTTGTATCAAAGTGAAGTTATATCTGGAGTGAGTGGTTGTACCAAAGTGACGTTATATATGGAGTGAAGGGTTGTATCAAAGTGACGTTATATCTGGAGTGAGTGGTTGTATCAATGTGACGTTATATCTGGAGTGAGTGGTTGTATCAATGTGACGTTATATCTGGAGTGAGTGGTTGTATCAAAGTGACGTTATATATGGAGTGAGTGGTTGTACCAAAGTGACGTTATATATGGAGTGAGTGGTTGTACCAAAGTGACGTTATATCTGGAGTGAGTGGTTGTACCAAAGTGACGTTATATCTGGAGTAATGGGTTGTATCAAAGTGACGTTATATATGGAGTGAGTGGTTGTATCAAAGTGACGTTATATATGGAGTAATGGGTTGTATCAAAGTGACGTTATATATGAAGTAATGGGTTGTATCAA